CCCGCGCGCGGGGCTGTACGCTGCCCCCCGGGCCCGCGCCCCGAGCCTGCCCCGCCCGGGAGGCTCCCCCTGCAGCTTCTCTGCGCAACCCCTCCCCAAGCTGCCCCGGCCATCACACGCACGCATGTCCTTGCACACACGCACGTATGCACACATATACACATACACACATATGCATACATACAGATATATGCATACATGCATATATACACGTATACATACATATATACACATGTGTACACACATGCATACACATATATAATGAACACATATATACATACAGATATATGCATGTGTATATATATATACACACACACAAATACACACGTGTGTACACATATATATACATGCATACATACACACATGCACACACACATATATGCATACATATACATTGATACACACATGTATATGCACATATGCATACAGACAGGCATGCACACATACACACATATATACATACAGATACACACATACACACACATATATACATGCACACAATTTTCACTTCAGGTCAAACTTCTGGGGAGATCAGGGAAGAAAAGGATGGATTTGACAAGAACATTGATATGGGGCAAAAGACATTAGACAACATTTCCAACATGCTTGTTTCCCCCCAGTTCACAGCTTTGCATGCAAGGCCATCACCACTTTTGTGTTCTCTAACAAGGATACATTTAGGGAAGGAAATGGACCCATTTCACGCCAAACTAGTGGGTATAACCAAGTCCTCCCCTCTCCCTAGAAATGTAAAAATCTTCTTTACCTACTTCATGTTTAATATGTTCATTGCTATAGCAATGTGTATTGATTAGCACAATCTATGTTGACCTTAGCACAATCTCATCTGGCAAACACAACACTATATCTGGTTTCTCTAAAGCTGTAACAAGAATGCGGTGTAGGGTGGAATTTTTTAAAAAGAAGCCAGTACTGTTTTGAGTATTATCCACGTACAGCAGAGCTAGAAACATTGCTGTCAAAGACAACGGTAAGTGCACAGTGTAAAAATGTTTCACTGACTCCACTTAAACTTAGTGAAAATGTTCACATTGCAAGGTGCACTAAATAATACAGCTGAACTGCAACCATCTCCAGGCAGTTGAGTACCTCAGGGGTTGCTGCTAGCCAAAGATAGGTAATGGCTTGTGTTGGTAATGTTCACTGCCCATCAGGACTGGGAGGCATCTCAGTGCTTTTATATTATCAGGATGCCTTGGTGTCCTTCTAAGTAGACAGTTCAGGGCAGGGTTTCAAATTTTGCTCATTTCAGAACTGCTCACTTCTAGGTTTCTTTCACCTTTGTCAGAAACAGGCTAATGGACTAGAATGCCTGTTGGTCTGATCTTGTATATCACAACTTCTGTCCCTAAAAATGTATCTCGAAAGCTGAGGGCCCAAACCAGTCATGAGAACTAGGAGTGAAATCTGACCCCAGTAACTTCAGTAGGACCATAATTTAACTCCACAAGAAAGAGCAAGCAAAACTACTATGTCTATTTCATTCTTATATAAATCCATGATACTGGGTCAAAAACAAGAAGACAAGAAAAGGAGGAGAAATTTAAAAACCATGCCCATGCCCAGATAAATAAACTTTCAGTCTATAGATGCACTGGTTCATGGGAAGGACAGAAGGAATTTCACAGCAAATGGATCTGTGAGGAAAGATCTGATATTAAAGGTGGGGGGAGATTGGGAGGGAGAGGGGGCAGAGTTTAGTTTAAATGGGAAAGCTTTTGTGTTGAAAATACTTTTCAATAAATGTTTTATTTTTCAGGGTTTTTTTCAAAATCAATTTATATTAGGAAATAATAGAATCATAGAAAAATAGGGCTGGAAAGGACCTCAGGAGGTCATTTAGTCCTGCCTCCTGATCAAAGCAGGATAATCTGTATCTGAACCATCGCATCCAAGTGGTTGTCTAATCCAGAGGTATAACCTTAAATGTTGGTACCTGGGCAGCAGGGTGGGCAAGAGCTAACACTTACTTCCTCTTGCAGGGGCTGCAACAGTGACAGATGCTGCTGCTGCCTCAGGGCAAACACCCCCAATATGGCTGTGGTGGCAGCACAGGCACCCTCTGAATCACCCTCTGGGGGTGATACCCCAGTCACCTTTACCTCCCTGCAAAGGTTACACTGCTGGACTAACCTAGTCTTAAAAACTTCCAAGTGTGGAGATTGCACAGCCTTTTTAAGTAATCTGTTCCAGTGCTTCTCCACCATTGTAGTTAGAAAGTTCTTCCTGATATCCAACCTAAATTTTCCATATTGCAGTTTCAGATCACTACTTCTTGTTTTATCTCCAGATGATGATGATAATGAGGATAAACAAAATAACAGACAACCCACCAGAAACAACAATAGGCTCTCAAGGTGACACATTGTTCACCTGAACATACACCCCAGATGTATATTCTAAATCTTGAGATGTATATACTAAGGAATTTGGGGGAGTAGAGACATTAGGCCACTTCTCAGCCTCTAGAAGGCTCAGATCAAATGTAGTCTCTTTTAGATAGTGCTGTGACTGACACTGTGCCTACTTCTGGAGTACACTTGACCCCGGGGCTGAGGCAAGTCCCAATGAAGGGGGAGGAGCAGACCTGCCCCCACCTGGCCCCACAGCCTCCATCTAGCAGGCAGCACTGCAGGCAGTCAGGCATGGCTCCACACTGCTGCTGCTCAGGTGAGTGGGGCACCGGGGCTCCCCACTGCTGGAGCCCTGCCCACTGCACCTTGGCCATATGGCTGGGGCTGGGGAGCTGGGCCCATCCTCTTCTGTGTACAGAGCAGCACAGGTGGGCCATGAAGTTTTTATAGCAGGCTGGGAGGTGCGCCTTACAAAGAAAAAAAGGTTGAGAACCCCTATTTTAAAAACTGGACACACGTGAGGCAGCACCAGTGTTTAATAGGGTGGAAGAATATTTTTTCAGTATTTTTAAATTGCTCCTAAATTGTGGAGTTTTGTTACCTTTCAACTAGCAAATGTCAGGAAACATGCAGAATATTGAATATTACATTTGCTTTGCTTGCTCAGTTCCATTTTCTGCTGTTAGAAAACAGTAAGAACATGTACTTTGATAAAGTAAGTAATACTTTCATTTTCAAGTGTTAACACTTAAAAATGCAAATGCTATTTAGTAAATATGAAAAGTAATACTTTTTTCACACTTTCTTACCATTTCCCAATATTTTTCCAATTGGAAAACATTAATAAAGTATGAAAAGTAGATTTTCCCAACTGAAAAAGTTGGGATATAGTGAGAAAAAAAAAGTGATATTAAGGCTGGGGAGGAAACGGTTTCCCACTATTTTCAACATTTCCTGTGGAAAAATCAGAATGTCCCAATAGTAAAATGTTGAAAAGGAATATTATCTGCAACATTTTCACAGAAAAATCCTGGTTCCCAAACACCTCTTTTTGTGTGGATTCACTGGATACCTAGTATAGGGCATTCTGCATGCAGGGTTGTAAAGGGGAAATATTGCTAAAACTTCAATTTTGAGTATTGTAATACCCCACAATACAAGCAAAATATATTGTCCTCTTGCTGATACTGAGTATAATTTTATTTCTGCTTATTTTATTTCTAGCACATCTTTTATCATACGCATGAAATCAAGGAACACTCAAAATGCATGGTTTAAGTAATTCAAGATGGTTTAAATAATTTTTAAAACAAATAAAACACTACAATTGGTAAGAGTTTCAACCACAAAAGATTTTATTTGTAACACTTTTGATGTTCGTTTAACTGAATATGAGTTCCTCATACAACAATACTCTTCGGTAAACATTGTCCGATAATGTTACAGTGCAAACAAATTGGCCAACAATAAATGTTGACATACTTTACACCATTGGCATTCAGTACAGATTATGAATTAGCAATAGCCAAAGTTTACTTGACTATTAAATCTGTGCATCAGATTGTGAACCTCTTGTTCACATCAATAAAAGTCACTGATAGGAGTAGCCCCCACTGAAATAATTTTTTAAAAGATTATTTGCATGACTAACTCACTTGATGGTGTGAGCAAAAGGGTTTGCAATCTGGCCCTTTATGAGCTGTTTTTCAGTATATTTGAAAATGAAACTGAGTAAGAGCTTAAAGTAACAGTATTAGCCTTAGTCTTTTCAATTGCATGAGTATCCATTATACCTTCATTTGCAGATTTTTTTAAATGCTCAGCATTGGCCTAACCCTGCTTTTATTAATCCCATGCAATGACTCTCCTTTCCTACTTTAAGATTGAAAACATGTATATTTCATCACAGCAAAATAACCTTAATTACAGTCCAAAACTAATACTGTTCATTGAAGTCATCACAAAATATAAGTTCAATAAATAACCCTTCTGAAAAAGAAATGTAAAAATTATGCATGTATATACTAAAGACCTACATACAAACTCAAGTCCATGGATGTACCATATTTTATCAAGTATGGAAATTTATACACATTATTACATGCATGTATAGCTTATTTTTCAAAACAAATATTAATTAATTTTTAGAATTCCATTGTCTAGTGATAAATATGTTAGTTATTGTTATTATTTATTATTGTTTCAATTATTTGTATTGTATAAGTGGCTATAGGCTTCAATGAGAAGACTGTTGCTCACACAATTATTCACCCTTATCGTTAAAAGGGTCCCCCACTCTGCCACACCGAATTTACACTCTATATGTATGGCAAGAGAAAAGAAGTGGATACCACAAACAGAAAGAAGGAGCACAATAAAAAATGTGGCAACTATAGTTAGTGTTACCACCAGAATTATGTTTAGTGGCATAGTGTTGCAGTATAACCTCATAAATCCTGCATGCTCGGAACCGAGCACCTGCTGGAAATTTGAAAATTCTGGGTTTTTTTAAACCAGTGCGGTGGCTGTATGTGGAGCAGCAGCACGGGGTGGTCGATGGTGTTGGCAGCCATTGCGTGCAAGCTTCCCCCTCTGCATCCAGGGAAGCAGAGGGGGAAGCTTAACAAGTGCCAGATTTTTGAGAATTCCTGATTTTTTATATCCGGATTTCATAGATTTCATAGACATTAGGGCTGGAAGGGACCTCAAAAGATCATCAAGTCCAGACCCCTGCCCCAGGGGCAGGAAGTCAGCTGGGGTCATAGGATCCCAGCAAGATAAGCATCCGATTTTCTCTTGAAGGCATTCAATGTAGGTGCTTGAACCACCTCCCATGACAGGCTGTTCCAGACCTTGGGGGCTTAGACAGTAAAGAAATTCTTCCTTATGTCTAGCCTGAAATGGTCTTGCAGGAGTTTATAACCATTCAACCTTGTTGTCCTTTGGCACACTCTGGTGAACAAACATTCCCCCAGATACTGGTGGTCACCCCTGATAAACTTATAGGTGGCCATCAGATCACTCCTGAGCCTGCGCTTTTCCAGGCTAAAAAGCCCCATGGCTCTCAGCCTTTCATCATAAGGTCTGTTTTCCTGACCTCTGATCATGTGCGTGGCTCTTCTCTGGACTCTCTCAAGCTTCTCCACATCCTTTTTGAATTGTGGAGCCCAAAATTGGACACAGTACTCCAGCTGGGGCCTCACCAAGACCGAATACAACGGGAGAATGACATCCTGGGATTTGCTTGAGAAGCATCTATGGATGCAAGCCAGTGTTTTGCTCGCTTTTACTAACTGCAGCATCACATTGCAGGCTCATGTTCATCTTGTGGTCAGTCATGACCCCCAAGTCCCTTTCATCCGTAGTGCTAGCCAGCGTAGCACTGCCGAGCCTATATGGATGCTGCAGGTTTTTCCTCCCAAGGTGGAGAGGAATTTTTCAATGTTAAACATCATCAGGTTCTTGTCCACCCATTTGCTGAGCCTGTCAAGGTCAGCCTGGATCACCCTCTTGTCTTCAGGTGTGGATGCTTTACCCCAAAGTTTGGTATCATCGGCGAACTTGGCCAGTCCGCTTCTGACTCCAGTGTCCACATCATTAATGAAGATGTTGAAGGTCCAAGGACAGAGCCTTAAGGGACCCCACTGGTCACAGGGCACCATGACAATTGACTTCCATCAACCACCACCCTCTGGTTCCTACCACGGAGCTAATGCCCCAGCCAGCGTGTCGTGGTGGACCCAAGGCCGCAGTTGACCAGTTTTGTCAAGAGGTGATCATGGGATACCAGATTGAAGGCTTTTTTGAAGCCAAGATATATGACATTAATCTCCTTTCTCTTGTCCAGGTGATAGGTCACATGGTCATAAGAGGAAATAAGATTGATTAAGCAAGACCTACCCGCAACAAACCTGTGCTGGCTATCTCTCAGGATGTTGCCATCGGTCAGTCCATTAAGAATGGCCTCTTTGAAGTTATACTGTAGAAGGAGTGTTTATTTCACACTAACCTGACAATGGCACTCATCATTGCTATAGGGCATGCGTGAGTTTCAAGAGATTTCAAAGATGATAAGGTAGTGGATATAGGAACTTTATGGAAAGTTCCTTCCATGCATTCTGGGTGACAAAGGAGAAAGCATGCTAAAGCACTACCCTTTACCAGTTTCTCTTAAGAATATTTAGATCTTGAAATCAAGTTAACAAGTAAGCCACAGAAAAAAGAACCCTAACACCAGAATTAGGTCTTCTGTGTTGTTGTGAAATATGGATTTCTTTTACGTGGTAAGAACAATGTGCGCGTTCATGTGTCAGTGCTGTAAGATTTATGAAGCTCTTTCATGCTCATTTCCTCATTTAAGTGCTGAGAGTTTTGTAAATGGAGCTCTATGTTGTCGCCTAGGAACCTTAACTGAATTTTGAAATAAAGTATGTTGTTTTAGAATAGCAATTAAGATTTGAACACATTGTCTCCACAATAACCCTCCCCAGCACTGGTTAACACAGGGCACTAAACTATTGAACTGCTTTCCTGTGCACGTATTTTCATTGTATGTTTCTTTTTAATTCAGGATCTTCCTCCTTCCTCCTCTTTCTCTTCCCCCCTCTTCCCCCGCCCACCTCCCCCACCAGTGCACATACACACACTGAGTCTTCCTACAGGTACAGACAGGTTATTTGACCATTTCCCAGCCCTTTCTGGTTCCTCAAAAAACTTGGCCTGATAGGACAACAACCATGACCAGATTTACCGTATTTAAATTATCCAAGCCTCCTTACTCAGAAAAGCTGTCCCTTCTCCTCTTATCCCTTTCTTCCTCCACCATCTCTCCTGTCGTATTGGAAGCTGTGAAATGCTCACTCTCAGAATCAGGTCATTTATTTAAGTGAATAAATCTAGATGTGGGTTCCTAATTTTAGGCAGCTAAGTTTGAGCTGCTTAGTATTCACTTCTCTGCACCCTGTGCTTCCTGAATATAAAACATGGAGGATACTGTACATACACCTCTGTGAGGTGGTTTAAGATCTTCATGTGGAAAGGACATTAGCAGAGACCATTTGCCACAGCAGATAGAGCTTCTCTGTGACATCTCTGTGCACTGGGGTTCTGCATGCCATCATGTGTACAACATCACTGTGGAGATAGACCCAAGGAGTAACCATTCTGAGTGACAAGTTTCTCTATAGCCCTATTCCTTGCCCCATGCTCCCTGCAATCCTCATTTTCCTAATGACAGGAGAAGATTTGCCTTTTATTATTCATTATACACATTACGTGTGTATTTTAAAAGCAGTATCATTAAAATGAAACAAAAGAACAACTCTTAACAAAAACCATATTGCATAGTTTAGAATCTGTTAGATTATGAACTTTGACCTGACAGATATGGGCGACCTTGCTCAGGTCTCTTCACAATACCCTGAATAGGAATTCAATTCAAAGATAGTTCATGCTGTGTTCAGCTGATCACCACCCGTGTCCACACGGGGGCCTGCTACAACCTCAATATAGTTTTGAGCAAACCTGAAGCTACTTTAAACTTTTTCCTGGTTCAAGTTAAATCAGTACTCCAGCATCCCAGCATTTTGCAGCCCTGGGCTGGGCTGGGCTGTGCTGTCTGCTCCAGAGAGGAGGACTGGCCCCACCCCTCTGCTTCCTAGCCAGAGCAGTGAGGCCTGGCTCACTGACCCCCTCCCTCCCCCAAGCAAACCCCTGCTGGGGCCGGGGGAGGGGGCTTAACCTTCTTTCCCCCAAGTACAAAACTGCCCTGCACTGCTTATTTAGTGCTGGTTGTGACTGTGGACTACAGATCCTGGAAGCACCTGGAAGCAGGAAGAAAAAGTGATGAGCAACCCTCCAGAGTCCTGCAGCTGTGAGTCTGGACTGCAAATCCCAGAGACCTCAGGAAAGCAGGAAGAACCAGCAAACACACAGTCCATGATGGCTACATGCCAGAGAGCCATGCTCTAGTGCCCCCTGGTATCTGGCTTGAGCCACTGCAGGCATGTGGCTGCATTTCCTGAATCACAAGTAAATGTCTGTTCATTTGCTTATTGTTCCAATGTTAGCAGTTTAAACTAACTTGCAAAAACTGAATCAATTAAGCCTCAGTCTTTTTGACTGTCTGTTCTTAGCCCTCATGGGAAGGGAATGACAGAAAACTGACCCAAAGATCACAGAGGTCCAAACAGTACCTTTGCAGCAATCCCTTCAGTGTTCCCCAAGCCTTACTAGAAGCAGTGACTAGTCAGAGACTTAAATCACTTCAGTCAGAGTTAATTATCATATCTGTTACATTGACTCAAATAATTTACAAACAATAATATTACTAATACGGAAAACAAAAATGCTTTTGCCAACACAATAAAAAAGTTTTCACATTCTCATTTTGCAGCAAGCTTTTGCAGCTGAGACATAACCCCTGAAAT